CTCGCCGTCGTCGTTTGAAATCGGGCCCAAGATGGCGGCGGCGGCCGGGAGCGGCGCCGAGGCGGCGGCCAGGCGGGAGGGGGCGGCGGAAGAGGAGGAGACGGCGGCGCCCGCCGAGGATGAGGAGGACGAGGAGGAGGACGGCGGCGGGAGCAGCAGCAGCGGCGGCGGCGGCTCCGCCAAGGCGGCGGCGGCCGGCGGCGAGAGCGAGGAGGGCGAGGAGGGTGAGGACGTGTTCGAGGTGGAGAAGATCCTGGACGTGAAGACCGAGGGGGTGAGTGGGTCGCGGCGGGGCGCCCCGTGCGCGGGCCGGGCCTGGGGCCGCCSCGGTGCGGGCCCTTCCCGCGGCGGGCGGCAGCGCCGGGGAGCAGGCAGCTCTGCCCCATTCCCGGTGGTTATTCCCTTCAGTTCGTGCAGGACGTGTCCGGAATATCCCTCCCGCTTTCCCTTTTCCTTGCGCTTCTCTCTGGCCCGTGCCTGCGTTTCGGTGTGGACTTGGAGAGCCCAGATGTGCAGGGCTGCAGTGAGAGAACCCGCGGGAGCCTCCGGGCGCGATCCCGAGAAACGCCGAGTGGCTCCGAGCGTGGGAAACGGCGGAGCAGAGGCTGGAGCGGCCCTGGAGCGGCCCTGCCGGCACAGGGCAGCCCCGGCCGGTCCCTGAAAGCAGCCGGAGGTGCTTGACGTCTTTATAAAATTCCGTAAATTTCAAATACARTAAACAACAAACACAGCTCTTTTAAACAGCTTGCAAGCATAGATTTGTTGTTTTGCCTGATTTGTAAGTTTGGCTTTAGGCTTCTGTCAAACTCGCGTAACGTGTCGAAATTCTGAAACCTTCAGGTCAGAGATYCTTTGGACGAGGAATTTTTACTGSCCACGGTGCTGCCCCACTTGGTTTCTTGGTCTTGGTTTCTCACAAACATTACACTTCAGAGACGACATTTATAGTTCTGCCTGTGAGAATCATAGGTCCAAACAGTAAGTCGGGCTTAACTGTGAGTGCCTTTCCCTTGCAAGGATGGAATGTGAAACTTGTGCGTTGGTGAGTCCTGCCACTCCGGGTGCTTCCAAAGAATACTAGCGTGAAYGTGGAGGAAAGACTTTCCTTTCCTTTGCAGGAATGAAGGGCAAGTTCTGTGCACCGACCGCAGGGCATTTCCCACCCCTGTTTTGTGCCTCCTGCTTATTCGGAAGCAGGCTCTGGGTTAAGTGAAGCATTGAGGGTGCTGCTTAAGGCAGCCTGAACAAAGTTTGGGAATACTTCCATTACAGACCTAGAAAGCTGCTTCAAAATTTCTTCAGAAATAGCATGTCCAAGACAAATTGTGGCATAGCCACAATATGCCTGTGGCATAGCAGGTAGTTTTGCTTTGGAATTACATGGTGGCAGCCCTTTCCATGGGAATTGGGTTTGGCTCATGACTGGCTCTCATAGAAACACCACTAGTTCAATTATTTCTAAATAACAGAACATGATATTACTAGAAAAATAATTTTGGCAGATAAGTGAAAGTCTCTGTATCTTTAATATCATGAACATCATCTCCTGCCTTGGTTTAATTCATTGAGGTAAGCTGCAGTTTTGTATTGTTTAAGCACATACCGAACCCAGAGCCGCTCGGCAGCTGAACAGTCTCACTTTCGTTTCTCAAACATAATGTAAACGTGAAGACTTATATTTACATTCCAGGGAGCCTGTTAAGTTCCCCATGAACAAGTTAATGTAACGTCATATTTACATTCCAGGGAGCGCGTTGAGTTCCCCATGAACAAGTCAACGTATCGCACGTCAGCAGCGTTGGCAGCAGAGAGGTCTTTGCAGCCGCATCCACGAGCAGCCAGCGCATCGAGGGAGGTGGTTTCTGCTCTGCTGGGTGCTGGTAGGCGGCACCTGGAGAGCTGGGCCCGGCTTTGGGGTGTCCAGGGCCTGGAGAGTGCCCAGCAAAGCGGATAGGGGCCCAGGAGGTGCAAGGAGAGGTCGGGATGGCTGGGGCTGTTGGTGGCCCCGTTGCCCTGCTCAGGGCAGGGGCGAGCGGATGGGGCCGGAGCCCTCTCCGAGKTGCCCAGGGAAATGGAAGAGGCCACAGCTGCGGCGTGGGGAAATACGAGAGATCTGCTGCCGTGAGGATAGCAGTGACGTGGGGTGTAGTAAGAGGCCTGCCAGTTGCTTATGTGATGAGGGCCCCATTGAACTAAATCAAGGGAGACAGATGAGCGTGATTTTGAAAGCACGTTCCCGAATCAGAGGTGTGTTGCAAAGCTGAATAGTAAGAGGAGAAGCCAGCGACTGCGTGTGAATAGTGGCTGCTTATGTAGGTGACTGTGAGTGGAGATACTGATAGCATCAGCTTCAGTTTTGCTTCCTGCAGTTGGGTAGCATATGTATTTATCATATGCCTTTAACCTTGAAAAATGGTTAGTGGTGATCTGGCAAATGTATAAAATCATGAAAGTATATTTAATAGTAAGTGGTAAATGCCAGTTTTTTTAAAGATTCCTTTCTGCAAGCTTGATTAACAACATAGGATCCTGGGAGCATTGCCAGCCTGTTCCTGAAATAATTACTGTGATTTTCCCTCCCCAAAGGTGCTTTACTTAGTAAAGGTGCTGAGTTTAGACTTCCTTTTGGAAAATAAGAAGTGGTTGTGTTGCGTGGTGTTCCATATGTGCTTATATGGACGGCGGGTTAAGTGAAGGTGGCTGCTGGTTCTGGCCCTCGCTGCAGGTTGGTCACGCAGGGTGGCCAGGCCGGAGAGGCTGCTCCGCAGGGAAGCCCCGTGCGGAGCCGGAGCTGCCGCTCGCCGGCTGTGCGAGCCCAAGTCCGAGCCTGAGCCCGAGCCCAGCAGGGAAAGGAGCCTGTGCTGGGAGACCTGAGCGTTCAGACTGCCTCCTGTGCTGAAGGGCAAGGGGGGATCTGATGGGAACTTCTGAGGTTTCATTTATTTTGTTTTCAATGGTTAAAAACCTTTCCAACCTAATGGAAAAAAAACCCTTACAAGATGGAGACTAAGTTATTTATTTTTTCTGTAGTGAGGTTAAATACCATTGAAACAACTGCCTGAGGGCTGTGGTGTGTAACCTTTACTGAAATCATTAAGAGCAGCCTGACTGAAACATAGAAACTCAGGTTTTGTCCCAATATAATTATCTAGCCCAAGTTATATATTACAATATAAAATCAAGTGAATGTGGTTACTGCATTATTAATCCTAATGTAACATTTTCAGCAAAGAGGAATGACTTAATCTTGAAATTTTTATAGATGTAATATTAAAAGGTAAAAATGTATTAATGTTTAGTTTTGTAGCTGCCAGAAAAACCTATTTTTGTAAAATAACTGGATACATAAGATCTTTTTGTTGCTTTTCTGAAGAAATTTTAGCTACTAACACTTTATGGATAAAACCACTCTGACTTCTCTGACTTAAAATGTTTTTAACATTTTAAGTAAGTCAGTCAGTAGTAGTTCAGTACTAATTCAGTACGTGATGATCATGGAAGAAGTTCTCGTGTCAACTGCAGGCTGAACTATATGTATATATGTAGGTATGAAGTAGTTCTTTTGTTTTATCATTGTCTTTCTTACAGGGTAAGGTTCTCTACAAAGTCCGGTGGAAAGGCTACACCTCTGACGATGATACCTGGGAACCAGAGATTCATTTGGAAGACTGCAAGGAAGTGCTGCTGGAATTCAGAAAGAAAATTGTGGACAAATCTGTTAAAAAAGACATCCAGGTGTGTTCCACCTTTGGTACTGTGTGTTGAAGACATCTCCCCTCTAGGCTTTGGCACGAGGGGGAAGGTGGCAGAGAGAGGGGGGCAAAGAAAGGCATTGGATGCCGCTCTGTGCCACRTGCTSTAGGTGTGCCTGCTCGAGCAGGAAGGTTGGACTAGATGATCTCTAGAGGTCCCTTCCAACCTTGAAGATTCTGTGTGATTCTGTGGGTACGGAATTAAGGAAAATATAAAGAATCTCCTTGGTTTACACAACTGTTTAGTGCTTCAGGTAAAACTGAACATTGCTGCTGCTGGATGTTTAAGGAATTGAACTGATGAGGTCACTTGTACACTCTGAATCCATTAGACCTGTATTTCAGTGTTTAATGGGACTGTGTAAGTGTCATTGTAATATGGGACTGTGTAAATAATACATCATCATTGTAATTAGTGTTCCAGCAAGGTAAGCAGCCCCCTTGCCCACGCACACGTGTCACTGAAGCTGGGCACTTCATTCATTTCCCCTTTTTGCATTGTGTGAAAGAAAATCAATGGGCTTTTCCTTATTGAATCTTGAAATAGATGAGGCAAAAATAATGGAGGAAAAATTAATTGCAAGAAGAATTGCAAGTAGCTGGGTTTTAAACTGTTTAGCTTCAAAATCATGAGAAAGAAGCTTTGTGTAAACTAGTATACTCTTGGAAAAGGCGTAGATGTGTTTTGCACAACTCAGGTTAACTTGATATGGAAGAGTGAGACTGAGTTGGATTCTGGCGGCTGGCCCTGTTGGGTGTCTGGTTGGTTTGGCTGTTTGTGTAGATKCTGTTCCAGGCGGTTACTGATGTGATGTAGGTAAACGAGACAGAATTGTAACATTCRTGAATTGTACGATCTAGCAATGAGCAGCAATAATGCTTGTGGTGTTTAAAGAGGACGACTTTTCCCCTTCACCATCCCTAGCTGTAATCTTTTGGGGRTTCATTTTTGTATAGTTTATTCCTAAGTTATTTAGCTTAATGAGGAAAAAACAACTTTTTCTTTTTTTCCTTGTATTRTAGAAACTTTCTCTAAGTGATGATGTATTTGATGCAGAATCAGACAGTGACTGGCAAAGTGAAACAAAAGAAGATATTTCACCAAAGAAGAAAAAGAAAAAGTCAAAAGATGGAGAGGATAGAAGCCCAGATGAGCTGAGGAAGAAAAAGTCTAAGTCTGTGAAGCTCAAAGAAAAACACAAAATAGAACGTGCGAATTCTTCAGATAGTTTGGTTTCAGATTCCAAACCAAAAAAAAGGACTTCAGAAACCAGGGAGGATTCAAAAGATCCGAAGAAGCAAAAGAAAGAAGATGCTAAAGAAGTAAAGAAAAAGAAGGGAGAATCTAAAGATTTAAAAATAAAATCTAAAGAGGACTCTAAAAAATCACGGAAGGAGAAGCAGGGAGACCTTCAGTTTGACTCAGAATCAAGCACTTTAGATGACTCATTTTCTCAAGGAGCTGATATTGAAAATTCAGATTTATATTCTGAAAATAAAGACAAGCAAAAGGTAAGAAGTGGAAAGGAGAGGCTGGGACAAGAAATTGCTGAAAAGGATTCCATTTCCGATAGGCATCCTGATGGATCAGCTAGTAATGAGGATGATAGTATTGAAGTTAAGGTTAAAAGAAAGAAGAAGAAAATTCAGAAAGCTGAAGATTGTAAAGAGGAAGGTAGAAAAGCGGAGGGCTATTTGGAGAAGAAAAGCATGCACAAAAGGCAAAGAAGTCAAGAGAAAATGAGAGCAGTGACTGCAGATTTGGAGAAGGTGCCACCCGCAGCAGCACCGAAGGGTTGGAAATCGGGCGCTGACGACAGGGGCCGCAGGGCGACTGATCCCGCGGGGGAGGTGAGCGGCGCGCGGGAGCGGGACAGGTGGCTCCGGGGCAGAAACGCTTCCAAAGAGCAAAACGGAATCGGGGAGGGTAAAAGAAGGGCAAGGCCCACTGCAGGATTTGAGAATGCTGTAAAGGAGGGAGCAACTTGGAGTGTCTTAATCCGGATGGAGAAGRTGTTGAAGTTGAGGCATGGTATTGAAGGTAGTCTTAAAGTGGTATTCCAAAACCAAGCTTATATATARTTTTCTTTTTTTTTGAGTATCCAGAAAAGTAAGAATTTCTCCAGCTTGTTATATTTACTTAAAATGCTATTTACTGGTTCTGCAAATATGTGCTGCTGCTTTGAGCCTCTTGTCTCCCCTACCCTCAGCCGTTGCTTCAGTTTCACTTCCCTCTGCTTGCGTAGCTGCCTGTCCCACAGGGCATCCAGTGCCCTGCTGCACCAGGATGGGCACCTGATCTTCCTCACAAACCTCTCCTTCAGCCTGCACCTACCTAGGAACTGTGCTACTGAGATCCAGGCTCCCAGCAAACGGTGCGGGTCGCTCGTCTTGCCAGAACTTCTGTGCTGCATGCAGAAAACGCCTGGTTTAATGACTTGATTTTGTATTAATTACAAATGCTTTGCAGGATCTAAAACAAATGGGCTAATCAATGACTGAAATACTTCACTGGGAACACTATTGCTTTCGAAAAACAGGTTGGTAAAAGCAAAAAGAGTAGACGAGGAAAATTTAAAGCAGCATTTATAGAATATTTCTGACAAAAATACTTGTGAATATTTATTCAGCTGCTTGAAAAGGCCCTAACGCAGTTTGCAGTTCCAACAATTCTGCTGGCTGCACAAAGGAAACCGCTTTATGATTTATAACAGGACTGCAGCCAAAATCCCTTGAAATTTACTGGATTATATTCTGCTCTGCCTGAGGTCCTATTCCATGGCAGCATGTGTCTTGTTTCTATACATTTGACTGAGGGTCCTCTGTTTGAATGTTATGGAGTAACCCACCTTAAATAGGCCTCGTTAAGCGTCAGCAAATCGGTTCTGCATAGAGAAATGTTCCATGGAGCAATTTCAGAGCAGAGCTACATAAAGGCCTAGGTTGCTAGAATTTAGGGTGAAAGCCCTTGTAAAAAAGGTTAAGCAATAGCTGTGAGGCACAGCTGTGTTTCAAAAAGTCATAAATAGTTCTCTTTGTATTAGTGTTATGACCCTTTCTTATTCCAAGTATTTTTTTGTTATGGTTCGAGGCCGTGGCATTCCTTAGAAACGTAAATCAGTGCTGACAATCAGACACGTTTTTGGAGTTTTATTTCCCAATGAAATAAAAATCCCATCTTCACAAATGTGAAGAAAACGAGTGTGAAGGTGTCTGCCTTTAGCTCCTCACTAAGCGGCACTCCTGGTGCTCCTGTCGATTGGGTACCAGGGAAGCAGAAGACACTCCAAGTCTGCCCCTTGCTTTGAGTCTCCTTCAGAAACCCAGCACTTTTCTGTCACTCAGTAGTTACTGCCCAGAGTAGCTGTAGATCCATTAAGGTGGGTTTGGTTTGGTGGGGTTTTTTTTTTGTTTTATTTACTTTGTTTTTCGCTACGTTATTGTCCCAAATACATTATTTCTTCCAAACATTATAATTTCACGTGTTTCAAATAACTCTCCTTCCTTTGGTGACTACAGAACACTGTCATGGCAGTTATAATACAGCGTTCTCTGTTTGGAGYCCTGCTTTATGTTGATGTTTCCCTTTGTTTTGTCTCCAAAAATACACGTGGAGCATATCATGAATCCAATGAATATCTAAAGTCTGCAATAGAAGATTACTGTTGTTAACAGCTCTTCTGTTCAGTAAATACCTGGTAATCCCTTCAGTGAATTTTATTTCTTCCTAATTACTGAGCATCAGCAGGGAGCAGCAGCTGTGCATGCAGCCAGTGGCAGTGGAGAAAAGCTGCGCTTTTGGATGGGACCTGGGGACAAGGATTAAATGTCACAGCTCTGCTAACACGTTATGCCGTGTTCAGTACTTCTGCTCTGATTCCAACTTGCTCTGTGYCTGGAAAATGGTGACATGTAATTGCAGATTCCGTCCGTGGGTGTCGCGGGGGCTGTTCGGTGGCTGGGGGGTCGCAGAGCCCGCGCGGTTGCCCATGGAATTCTTCTTGATACGGGATATTGCTGAACTGCATGGATGTGATGATGTTTTTGTGGATTTTGTCTGCCCGTCCCTTTATAACGAATTACTGTTGTTGCAATATTCGGCTTGTGTCTGCTGGGAAGCCTGGAGCCCTGTGTGCACAAATACAGGTTTCTCGGTTACAGCTGARGTTGGTGCTGTTGAACCTGCCTTGACTACAATGCTGTGAAGGTGCTAAATACTTTTAAATAATTTATTCTATTCAGGTTATGCATTTAGAACAAATACTTCATATTATTGAATTTACTTTTAGTAAATAAATGCAGTCACTTAAATATTTCAYATATTTATTGGTGTTTCCTGGACTGAAATCCTCTCTTAACAAGGCTACAAATTATTTCAGTTATAGTAGACAGAACACCTCAAAGTGCTGGTTTCTGCCTGCTAACTATTGACATAGGAAGCAGCWACTAACCTTTAAGTCCTGTGATGTTAAATAGGTTTCTTGTTGGCTTTTGTATTTGCAGGCTTTTTGATCTCAGTTTGCCACGTTGCAATATAGTCTTAATTGTAAACATAGCTGGTTTTGCCATATCTGCATCTCATGCTGTAAAGGACCTGGCATGGCTGGAGTGCTGTCAAAGTTGGAATCGAAGATCTGTCCTTTTATTTTAGAAGTGGCCTCTGCTCTCTAACATTAGGAACTGTCTCAGGATAATCCCACTGTCACCAGCTGAATTTTGGGAACCTTCACAAGTATATTACCTACAGTTYTGGGTGGTACTTGGTACTAAGTATATAGTCTCATTTGAGTAGTGAAAGGAGATTCTTTCTAATTTTSTCTCTACTAATTTATAATATTTGTACTTTTTTAATGACAGGAGAAAGAAGTAAAAAAAAACGAGACAAAAGAAAAATCCCAAAAAAGAGAATCTGAGAAAGAAGAAAAGAGCAGAAGAGAACAGAAGGGCCTAAAAAGTAAGTGCCAGTTGTTGAGAAGGGAATGACCATTCAGTGTGTAGTCCTCTGGCTTCCACAGGAGCAGAGCAGTGCGTTTCTGTAACACACATCAGAAACAACAGATTCTGCTTGTACTTCTAGGAAGCAAAAGTTTGTTATTTAATGACCTYTTCATGTACTGAGAGAATGAAACATGAAAGGTTTGTATACATAGAAATCTCTGGCATTAGCTGTGAGGATTGCACAAGSCTTAAAATATCACAGAAAGAAGAGGCCTTGAAACATGAAGAAAAACGCACGGGTTTCATGCATTTTACTTCCATTTTTAGTAGTATAATAGAGTTTTAATGGTACTGCTCCTGATCCCAGTAAAATTTTGAGTGACTGTRTTCAGGATAAATTTTCTCACTACTCTGACAATGAACTGGTGGGTGGAAAGTAGGTAGCTCCATCTTGGCTTTTGAATGGATGTAGGAGGAACTATGGCATGTGGGAGAGAGACAACTTTGACTTAGATTGGATACTTACAGTACTTTGAAAATTAACAGGCTTAATTACTTTTCATGACACTGCCTGTGTCCTTTGTACATTTATCAGAAATATGGAATGTTTTTCAAAGCAGTAATTTATGCATAATTCTAAATGATATTTTTCTTTTAAAAATAGTACTAGGTTCAAAACCTTTGGCTCAAGGTAGCCAAAAGTGAACTAGTCCTCACTAATTCTGGTTTAAACTGTGAAGTTTGCTGCTGTTCTTAAACAGTGGTGAACCTCTTAAACGGGAATAATGTGTGTGTTTTTTTTKTTTKTTTTTTTTTTTTTAAGACTTGATTCTAGTCGTTTACGTGGACTTTGTGTAGTAGGGACTCAGTCCCTCTTGATGTCTGTCTTTATAATCTAGGCTATAAGGACATCAAAAGCACATTCGACTTGCTTAACGTAGCTTCAGAGGAGAAAAATGACTTTTCTGAGAATAACCGCAAAAGGGAAGAATCCTGTCTGGACTACAAATTTGTGGAAGAATTAAAATCAAAGGAGAGCAAGATGCACAAGGAAAGGAGGAGCGTGAGGGACGAGACGGATACGTGGGCCTACATCGCGGCGGAGGGGGACCGAGAAGGGCTGGACGTCTGTCAGCTGGACGAGAGCTCTGGTGAGCAGCAGAAACAGACTGGGGAAAGCTGAGCACCCGAATCCTTTCTGTTATTTTTTCCCCTCAGTTCCTAGTTGCATCTTTTGGTGCTGAAATCCATGTCTCTCAGGAGGCTAAAACAATGTTTTATTTAAAAAAAAAAAAAAAAAATCACTGATAATAATCTTAAATATGCAGCATGCTTGTGCTGTGACAGAAATGGAGTGTTTCATGTGCGGACACTTTAGCCTGATTTATTAGACCAAACGAATGTTGCTGGTTGTTTTTATTGTTTATTTGTTTTTAAGCAAAAGATGAAGTTGGCAGCAGCAGCCAGTGGTGACTGGTGTTACTTTAACTCGTGATTTAGGTCTGTTATGTGGCCTCCAGCGTTTGGAGCCATCCTGGAGCAGCTCCTCTCACAGTGGGCTGGAATGAGGGGGAAGGAAATGTGTCTTGCACTGCTGATCAGTGAAGGAATGAGCTGACCATTTATTAGTTGGTTAGACCCATTTTTTGGTTTTCTTCCATAAACTCCAATATATGACAGATGGCAAGCAGCAAGTCCTGAGTTTGGGTATGGACATGCAGTTAGAATGGCTGACGCTCGAAGACTTTCAGAAGCATCTTGATGGAGAAGACGAGAATCACATCTCTGCAGAACCAATATCAAGTAGTGAGTAGTTGCTGGGAGGAAGGGACGCTTCTTATCTGACATTTCAAAGAGAAATACCYTATATCTGCATTAAATTTATTTTACAGCTCTCCTGAGGGATGCAGTTAAAAATGGAGACTATATGACAGTGAAGATGGCACTTTCTTCAAATGAAGAATATAACCTGGATCAAGAGGTAATAATCTGGATCAAGAGATAATTCTTCTGAGGGAAAGAAAATTATATTGGAAAAAAATAGAATGATTCTAAAAGCTTCCCCCCCTCTCTCTTTTGCAAGGAGCTGATTTGTGTCTCCTCTGGTGAATGTAAGCACAGGAGMAAAGGCCGTGTAGCGTTTGAGGCTTTGATACTTGTTCTCTGTTTCTTCTAAAGAAAAAGTAAAGCTTGGCAGAAGTATCTTGGTAATTAAATYAGCACCAGACTTGTCTGCTAGGTTTAAGTGAATATTAAATGTAAAATTATTTGTGCTATGACGTTGGCTGAAATCTGGCAGGTCAAGTGGCTAAAATATAAAAATATCCACGCGAGCAAACAAAAATAAAATGCTCTGTGTGGCTGGTTTGGACCGTTTCACTCCCATTGGAAATGTGATTTCTCCAGTTCTTCATTTCAGCTGTACTCTGATTSTTTGTTTGTTTGTTTTGTTTTTCTTCCAGAGGTCTTTTAAGATCTCTCCGAAAGAAATTTTGAAAATTAAAATCTCTTACATGAATGTGTCTGTGTGTTTGTTTTGGTTTCAGTTGATCTTGTTTACTGGTATTACCTAGCATTCAGACCCTAAATTACGCTAAAATATCTGTAGAGTAGTAGTAGGAAAAGTGATGKCAGGTGAAGGACGGAGGTCAGTGCAGGCCGTGGACTGTAACATCTAGTAGAAAATGAAGAGTGACTGGGAAGACTGCTCAGCTGCTCAGAGGGCTCTCCATGTTTATGCTTAGAGTAAATCTGAAAGCACCTTTGTGGTAGGAGCTGGCGTAACCCCAAAAAACAGAGTAAAATAGTTTTGAATTCAGAGTGGCTAAATAGAAGTTGTCTTTTTCTGTTTTAAATGAATTTGAGTTATCATCTCTGTAGGGACCAAGGAATTCAGACACTTTTGTGGGATTTTGCTTTGTTGTCTTGCACTATTACTGGTTCTGTTGAGTGCTGTGGTTTTCTTCTGCCTTGTGACTCTTTTCTCAGATTATTAGGTAYTTTGTTTGTTTTCTGCTGCAGTCTCCTGACGCACCCGCAGGTTGTCCTGCTGCAGGTTGGATTCATGGCGGTTGTTGTTGCAGGACTCCAGCGGGATGACCCTCGTGATGCTCGCAGCTGCCGGCGGGCACGACGACCTCCTGCGCGTCCTCATCAGGAAGGGAGCTAAGGTGAACGGCAGGCAGAAGAATGGAACGACTGCCCTCATACACGCAGCTGAAAAGGTCGGCTCCTTTGTCACGCTGATAGTGCTGCTCTCCTGCGTTGCCTTTTGAAAGTGGGGCTGAATTTAGATCCCTCTCCTCCGCTCCCTCTCTACCATCATTTGGCTCTGCTTAAAACATAGGCAACTAGACACAGGACAACAACGTAAACTACGTATTTCAGATGGCTGTGCTGACTGTAGTGTGTAATTAAATAAATAAATAAAAATCAGAGCAGCTGCCTTAGATGATCCCGGAGGMCTGCTCTGAGGAAGGAATATCACAGCTAGAAGGAAAAATGAGGTAAAATGGTATTTATGCCTATCCTGRGTGATGAAAGTACTTGAAAGAATTTGTTATGTTCTCTGACTACACGATAGCTGAACTTAGATCTCTGATTTTCATCTCTGAATTTAATACTTGAGAGTTAGGGGGAAGGGCAGACCTTAAATTAAGGCCAACTAGACCACAGAGTTAATGATGTTTTACAGAGTGAACTTTTGTTCAAGTTGATTCATTTCTCCATATCATTACAGGAAGCTAAAGGCCAAGAGCGAGTTCAATTCCAGTTCATTTATTAGAGAAGCCTACAGTCTTTATTGTGGGTGTTTCATATTACAGGATTAGAAAAAAAGAGATCCTGCAAGCTGCCTGCTTGCCTGAGTGTATATYGCTCTTTATGAGCAGTAGAGAGCACAGTGTTAGTTGTGTCATGCGTCATGTTTTSTTTTTTTACTGAGGGATTTTTAAATGAGCCTTTTTTATAGTCTGGAACCCAAACAAAGTGCTCTGTAGTGACTTCTGCCATGGTTTTGTTTCGAAGAACTTTCTCACCACGGTAGCCATTCTGCTGGAAGCGGGAGCGTTCGTGAACACGCAGCAGAGCAGCGGCGAGACTGCCTTGATGAAGGTAAATTCAGTGGGTGTCCTCATGGGGTTTAATAGGAAAGAGTATTGACATCTGGTGAGCTAATAGGGGCGTGAGGACATGGGAACATATTTCTTCAAGGACGTTTTTCCAGAGCTGGTTTCGCCAGGGAGCATGTGCTCCATTTGAAATAGAAAATGACTCTAGGTTTTCCAGCCAGTGTGTTAGTCCATGGTGTGACACGGTCATTTGTGTAAGCAGTGGATCTGCCTGCTGTCAGCATAGCATYGTCCTCTCCCGCTGCCTTCCCTTTCCACCCAAATAGAATATAATCAGCCTGTAGCCTTAAAACTGAGATAACCAGCTTGTTATCAGGAATGCAAAAAACATGTTGCATCTCTCAGCCTCATTGTACATCAGATCTCTSGGAGATCCTGGGGTGAAAGACTCTTCTCTGCTTCCCCCCACACGCTAAAAGGAAGAGCAGTTTGTTTTGTTGTACTGGGAAAATTCAGAAACTTTTAAAATAGTCTGTGCWCCTCTTCATAGTTTCTTATGTTTTGTGTAATTACCAAATACAAAAAAATTGCCTTTCCTGAGGGAGTTATTTATATAGGAGCTATCTAAGCAAATCTGCAGAAGAGCTTACACTTCGTTTCTCCTCCTTTCTGTGAGGCTTAACAGAGAGAATTCACATCTTCTATAAAGAGAAGTCAGGATAGGCTTGTGATGTCCTCAGTCACGCAGGCTGCATCTCTGAACTTCGTTTGAAGACCTGCCTGCCTTGCCTAACGCTTGGCTACCCCTCCTGTTCTGCCAGGCTGCCCACAGGGCTTCRTTCCTCACACAGCTTCTCTGTAAGGATGCTGAGAACAGGACAAGTGATAAGTGTGTTTATCACGTCACTCTTATTAAAGCCTTACATGTTGGATCTTTAAAAAGGCTTGACACTTTATTCCGTTCTGTGAGGATTTTGTTTTTACAGATGGAAAACGCAGGTGAAAGTTCAGGTCTGAAACAAAAGAATTAGAAAAAGGCCCAACAGAAAAATGTCCCTCTTCATGAGGCCTTTCAGAAGGTAACTGGCCATTAGAACAAGCTGTCTGAGAATGGGCAGCCAACAGCACGTGGTGTTTGCAGTCCTCAGAGAAGAGGGTTTTTTAGGCTTTCCTCTACCCTTGTCMAGTCATCAGGCTTCGGTCAAGTTGAGATGCCCTGGAATTCTTGCAGACAACTTTGACTACCCTTGGACACTTAGGCAGCGGATAGAGAGCCTGCCTGACGTAATGGAATAACAGATGGAGCGGGTTGTCTTCATCTACTGCTCATCTAACGTCTCATTTGAAATGAGATATCTAGAAGAATAGTTGCTTTGGAATGTTACTTCAGTTCTGAACATTGTGTAGGAACCGGTTTATTTTGGTTGGTAACTGTAGGAAATGCAGTTACTCTAATTAGCRGAATACAGTCGTTGATGTAGATTTGCTGCGGCTCTTTGTTTGCCTTTGCAGGGTGTTGGGGTTTTCTTGGTTCTCCTAATGATCCATTTGGGAACCCTGAATGCTGGTGCTTCTGGATGATCTGGTGCCTAGTATTGCCTGGAAAAAGTGAGGGATTTCTGAATTGCGAGCACAGATTCCAAGTCTCTTAAGTTTCAGAGGGCAAATACTTGAAAAAAATCTTTCTGGACAGTAACGAATTCTAGGTTTATTTTTACATTAACTTCTATGATTCTGCTTCTTTCCCCTTCTTCCCTCCCCAGCATTTTGGGGTTGTTTTAAAGGGGTGGTTGTTGCCCGCTCTTACCTGTTGCACTCTCTTTTGCAGGCGTGTAAGAGAGGGAATTCTGATATCGTGCGGCTTATGATTGAAAGCGGAGCGGACTGTAACATTTTGTCCAAGCACCAGAACAACGCGCTCCATTTTGCTAAGCAGTGTAATAACGTGCTGGTGTATGAGCAGCTCAAGAACCACTTGGAAACGTAAGTAAGCTGCATTTTGAGTTTTGTGCATGTTTTGATAAAGTTTGAAATATTGGATGTGTCATAGTTTGGGTTTAAATCACAGGGAAAGAGGGGCAGTGCCAAGGAAGAAGCAAGATACCCTTTGGGCAGAAGGCTCAGTGATAAATGTGAATTAAGTGATGTGAACCAGCTGTGATTTCAGTAGTAGGAAAGACTAAGTGAGCTGGGCCTGTCTAGCCTGGAGAGAAGATGGAGAGAGGAATCTTATCAACATGTGCAAATACCTGAGGGGAGAATGTAGGGAGGAAGGGGCCAAGCTCTTCTCAGTGGTGGCCAGTGACAGAACAGGGGGCAGTGGGTGTAAGTTGAAACCCAGGCAGTTCCATCTGCATGTGAGGAAGAACTTCCTGACTGTGAGGGTGCCAGAGCCCTGGAAGAGGCTGCCCAGGGAGGCTGTGGAGTCTCCTTCTCTGGAGATCTTCCCAACCTGCCTGGCTGCCACCCTGTGCCCCGTGCTCTGGGTGTCCCTGCTGGAGCAGGGGGTTGCACTGGGTGATCCCTAGAGGTCCCAGCCAGTCTGTGCATTAATTCTGGTGATGAGGGCACTCGCTCTTGACACCCAGCGCACGGCGCAGGGACCGGCACCCTGTTCTGCCTGGTGATCGCTGGTCTGCGTGCGGTCAGCTCTGCCCCCCCCCCCTCGCTGTGGGTCAGCTCTGCCCCGCTGTCGCTGTGGGTCAGCTCCCCCTCGCTGTGCGCAGGCTCTCGCGGGTGGCCGAGGACACCATCCGGGAGTACTTCGAGGCCCGTCTCGCCCTGCTGGAGCCCGTCTTCCCCATCGCCTGCCACCGACTCTGTGAGGGGCCCGACTTCTCCACGGACTTTAACTACAGACCTCCACAAAACGTGCCAGAAGGTACTGAAAAAAATGCCTGCTTTGTGTGTCTGYGTGTCCCGTGCTTCTGTTTTGAGGGTGTGTAACTGCCCTTTCCATGAAGAGCACGCGCAGTCCCGCACGCGGCGGCCCGGGACGGGGTTGGTTTGGGCTGGGCAGCTCTGCCCTGCCCGGGGGCCCTGCAGGGGCTCCAGCTGTGCCTGAGGCGTCTGGGGACGTGGCCTCATCCCGTGGGCACAAGCCCCACTCTTGGCTCCACCTTGAGCTTTTCCCTCTTCGTGAATATCCGGTAAGGAGCCTCTATCAGCGGGTACTGATGTTCTCTAAATTGTGCATTATTCTGACGTAGGTGCTTTGTGAGGATTGTAAGTGGTTGCGTTAAAGCATTTCTCTACTTGGCACCTGGAATTGTAGCGTTAAGAAATATTTGTTCATGTGTTAAAAGAGAAACTTGAGGCATATGAGGGTGCTGAAGGATCTTGCTCGTTCCATTTTACTGCAGCTGCTACAAGTCTGAACKTGTTCAGATTCGGTTTCCCTCCCTAACAGGGCAGCCCGGACCGCGCTGCGTCTCCCAGCCGGAGGCAGCGGCGCTCGCGGGGCCCTCCTGGCCCCTGTCCTGCCCCCTGTCCCGGCAGCACCGGCCCGGGGCCGCACTGGGCAGTTCCGAAGCTGCCCCTTGGATGCAGCTTGGAGCTCAGTATTYATGCTACAAACCCCACGTTTTCCAGGCGCATCCAGCGTGTTCTGTTGCCCTGGGCCGTCCTGTGCGGCTTTTGGCGGGGGCAGGAAGCCCGGCTGGTGCCGGCCCGCAGGGCCGCTCGGTGCTTCGGCTGGGCGAGATCCTGGCTCTGGCGCCGGGGCCGCCCTGCCTGACTGTCCTCCCCTCTCCCCTTCCAGGCTCGGGAATTCTTCTGTTTGTTTTCCACGCAAATTTCTTCGGTAAAGAAGTGATCGCTCGGCTCTGTGGACCCTGCAGTGTGCAGGCTGTGGTTCTGAACGACAAATTTCAGCTTCCTGTATTTTTGGTAAATCTTTCCGTATAGCTAATAGACTATAAACAGCTTTATCTTTATAGAACAATCTGGGTACTTTTAGATCCTTAATTGGGATTTTGAGCAGTGTAATGCAGCATTTGTTTATCGTGATTTGGCCTGGKGTGCTACAAAAATTGGATTTTTGTTTATAGTTGGAGGGGGGCTGCAGGCCTTGCCCACACTAGAGTCTATTAAAAATAAATTTGCCTTGAAAGGCAAAATTTTCAAAATTGGAAGGACTTGAGGGTTGGAGCCGGCAGACAGGATTTGTGAATTTAAAAGCTCTCTTCGTCGTCAGAGTCACCTCCCCCCTCAGATTTCTGACTCGGGAAGCTCTGCCCTGGAGCGCAGTGCTTTGCCCTGCTCAAACTAACGTTCCCCGTATTCCCAGTGGCTCCCCGTTGTGGGCACTGCTGCGCACACTTCAAGTCGTCTGCTTTTCCCTGTGCTTGCTCCAAAGGCTCTCCGCACTATTCAGGACTTCTTCAAAAGTGTGTGGGTTGARTGTCACGTTTGAAGGTCCGCTCTTGTCATTAACCGGCTCTGTTTCCTTTTCCCTTCCAGGACAGTCACTTTATTTATTCCTTCAGCCCTACCGCAGGCCTCAACAAGCTCTTYATCCGGCTGGCAGAAGCTCCCACTGCCAAGGTACGAAGTGTGGCTGTCGTGCGGAGCCCCCAGCGCCTCGCGGCGCGAGGGGTGACTGCGGAAGCGCTCGGGGCCCCTCACCCCAAGCCCAAGCCCAGCGCCCTCCCCAGCGCTCACGGCTCCGCGGGGCTGAACCGAGCGGGCTGCCCGGTCCCTCGGGAACGTTTCCCTGCTGAAACGAGTGTAATTCCTGAGCCAGGATAAGGRGCGTTGCAGCGGGGAAGAGCCCTGTGCGTGGCAGCAGCCGGGCTGGGGGACACTGCGATGTTGCGGCACGAGGAGCAGCTCCCGTCGGGGCAGCGATTCCCCGCAGGCAGGAGAGGGCCTGGAAAGCCTCTGATCGTCTAAATTCAGCCTTTTATTCTTAGGTTTTCTACTCAGTGTTATGTTTTAGCAAGGGTAGGGGTACTCCAGCATCCAGTACGTATGCAGAGAAGTGCATGCTGTTGGCTCCAGGCCAGGCTTGTGTTTTGTGCTTTGTGCTTGTGCTACTGGGGTAGCAGTATTTTTTTGGATCTCTTTTTCCCAAGGCTGTGTTTTTTTCTCTTTTTTTCTTGAATTAAGTACAGCTTGTGAGCCGTTCTGGCTTGCGCAGCCCCTAGCACCTGTGCCTCCACCTTGTCTCGTGCTCGCCTGCCCCTGGCCGAGGCCTTGGTGCGAGCCCCCGAGAAGGGCGCTGACCCCTGGTTTGCTCTTGCAGGTGAAGCTGCTGATCGGGGCCTACCGAGTGCAGCTGCACTGACCCGYGCCCTGTGTCACACCGCACCGGGGCAGCACCCCGGCCTGCCTGCACGGCCTGCCCGCTGCTGCGTCGGGGCTCACAGAGCAGTCTGGGACTTCGTGGCCCTGCGCTGGGGCCGAAGCTGCCTCCTCATCCTCATCCCTGGCGGAAGGTGCCCGCTGGAGAGCGGCCCATAGGCTGCTCTCGAGGGCAGGGCTGCCCGGCTCCCTGCTGGGGCGGCTTTGTACAGATGTAGGTGTAAGTATTTGTGCCAATATATATAGCTCTGTTTAACTTGTGGAGTCCAGACTGCCTATTGGAGCTTTTCCACAATGTGGAATGGTGATATAAGAACTATTTAAAGTAACTACATAAAATGTCTTTTTTAATAGAAAGAACTACCATTTGTAAACTAAACTTTTCTACTTGCCCGGACCTTGGTGTTTCTCAGTAAAACGGAGCAGTGTCTGTTCTTGGAGCTGTGAGGGCGAGGGCACGGCCTTAGCCGGGCTGCGCTCTGCTTTGAAGCACTTTCCTCTGCGAGAAGGCGGGTCCGTGTCCAGGCAGCCCCGGCTGAGGCTCTTTGCAGGCAGGAACACCACGAGCTCAGCAGGTTTCAGGCTGAGGGGACTGCAGTCGCTCCTGGCTACGCTGCTGCTTTAGGACTTAATTTTGTACTAGAGAAGCAACTGACGGATAGCTCTGCAGGCGTCTCAGCTCGTGAGCCCTTCATGAAGTGACAGGCAGCAGCAAATGGGGCCGAAAGGGCAGACCCGAGACCTTGGCCCTTGTGGGCAGCGCTTGGTGCTGCCTGAGGACGGCAGCTGTTGTCAGCCCCACGGGCAGGCGCTGCTGCCCCACACGGCGCCTCGGGGCAGGCGCTGCTGCCCCACACGGCGCCTCGGGGCACGGAGCCGCTCTCCAGCTGGCACTGCACGGACCCAGTTCCTCAGCTGACAGCAGCTCGGTAAGGGCTCTGTGCTGGCAAACACAGCTGTAGAACTTCAGCATGAAGTACAGAGTATTTTTGTTTGTAAATTAAAACAACCTCTTGAAAAGTAAAGAGCTCCAGATTGTGCCTTTGCTCCTCYGGCTGCTAGCTCTAGTTTACATGCCGCTATGTGCCTATCTTGTTAACAAAACTGCTGCGGGTCAATTCTTACTGTATCTGAGTGCTCACCATCAAAATGGTGCAAATATGTATTTTAAGAACTGTGACTTTTTAATGTAAAGTTCAGTGAACCAATTTTTAGTCTTTGGTTCTTGGAAGTTTAAAACTTTCATATTAAGAGATGCCAAACTGTAGGAACTAAGGACACTATTTCAATTTTGTGGAATGTTACATGAAGCTAAATAAAACTAGAACAGCACCATGACATACAAATACTCAGTTCTACTTCCAATTAAAATAGTTGCCTATTTATTTTGCTTAAACAGTATTGAGGGGATGTCAAGTCTGCTTCTGCACAAAGGTGTTGGGCACCTCTGAAACRTGGTAAATACCTTGTTTTGCTGCAGGGTAGAGACAACAAGGATCTCGGTGCAGCTGCATTTCATTGTAGCCCCTCTTCTTGACTCTTTATACCCAGATATTAGGAAAGAATCCTGAAAGCTTCCTAAGGACAGGCCCCTTCCTTGGGCTGGAGCGACTGTTTCTGTGTAGTGTGCAGTGCTGTTGCTCACAGTGCACCCCCCGCAGGACCGGGCCCGGGTGAGGGCGGGTTGTGCTCCCTTCCCCTCTGTGGACGGTGGCACCGCGGGGCCTGGCGCMCACGCGGCCACGCGCTCAACACGGGGCTGGTCGGAGGCTGCTGCGCAGGCTGACCTGGAAGCTTCTCTTGGCACAGCTGGATTGAGCCCTGAGGGAGGCGGGGAGGAGGCTGCCAGGCAAGAGGAGCAAACCTGAGGTCATGGGGCTCCCAGGGAGCAGTTTTCTTGCAGACATCATTCCCTGTGGTGATCCCAAGATCCCTGCAAAAGATGGAGCCAAAGGCACTGAAGAGGTGGCTGAAGCTGTTCTCATTCACTAGATCTTTATTACCCACGTGCTCAGAAGTTTTGGTGCAGAAGGTAACCACAGCAAATCCAGCTCTTCCAGCAGCGTGTAGGAGGACAGGGAGGTACCGGCACCAGCAAGGCAGGAGAGGCTTGCGGCCCTGTCCAAGTCCAAGCACGGCCAGGAAGAGCCCACGGTGCGGCTGGAGGCGCCGGTGCCCTTCCCAGCCGCTCCAGCTTCGCCGCGCAGCTCCACTCACCCTGCAGGCGCTGACGGGTGCTCCCGCCTCCCGCAGCTCTGCGCATCCGCCTGCCTCCCGCCTCCCGAGGCTCTGGTCGCCTCCAGTGGCTCCGTGTGTCCGGCCATCTCCAATGCCAGGGCCAGGGCCCCCGCTGCGCCTGGGCCCAGCGCCGCCTTCGCCTCCCTCTGCTCAGCCTCACGGGGCTGCTCGCGGCCCTGGGCTCTTCACACTGCTCCTCCCCGCTCCTCCTGCTAGTCATAGATTAATTAGAAATAATTTCATTGGAAAATATATTTAAATAATTTTACTGGAAAAATAAGCCCTCCAAAGTAGTTACACTGGTAATATGTTACAGCACAATGTTGACATCTAATACAGCAAAATAAATTTTCATGTTTTTTTCTTTCTTGTTCATCTTTTAGGCCGTTTTAGGCAAATGCTTTTATTATAGCTTGCAAGTGCAACACTTCCCTGCACGGCTCATGAACTCTCTCCGCAGCTTAGGTCTCCCAGCTGGTTCACATCTTCTCACCATTTTTAAGCTGTTGCTGCCTCACCCCTTTCCTACTGGATAACTACCACAACTGGCCTAACTGAACTTGATTCAGTAGCTTAAACAAGAGTCTGACTTTCGTGTTTCTTTAAGTCCTGGCACTGTACTTTCCCTTACTGCATGAGTGCTTTAATATGAGTATTACTCATTTACTTCCAATAATGTTTACTAATACAAATGCAACATTTAGCCTGGAAACAGTATTTTTAGGCATCATTTACTTTGACTCCAATTGAAGTATCCAGAAATGTAATTCCTTTTATCAACGTCATTACCACAGAACAGTAGTACAGACCTGAAAGCTAAACCCACCTCCCAGCTCCATCTAGGCTGCGGCAGGAGTCAGAAGCCAAGTTCAGCATCAACGCTGTCTCTCGCAGGCGATGCTCAACCTGGCCTCAGGTACCACCTGCTGATGCGTATCAGACCTCACGGCTGCAGCTTCTGCTTCTCAGCGAGCAAGCGGGATCCTGAACGGCAGCAGGTTTTTCCAGCTTCTTTTCCACTGTGGGTGGAAAAGCAGCTGAACAGCCCGGAATCAGGACGTCTCCGTGCGGATGAGCCCCCCTGCCTTCCATCACCCTACACCAACAACTGGCCCCGTCTCCCAGGTCTGCAGGACGACTGAAACMGTCACACACAGGAGCACAACCGAGGGGCAGCTCCAGCAAGAGCCGCCCCCACTCGTCCCTCTCCACCATTCAGCCAGTGCCAGGATTTAAGCCCAGTTTTACCGGACTGCTGGCGTGTTGACAYGTGTTGCACACCAGCAACACAGGCAGGACGCAGCACACGTCTACCCAGCACCCAGGTGTCCTCACAAACACGGCTCCCACGACAAAAACATCACGTATTCTCACCACGGAGCATCCTTTCGGTGTGACCTGAAGGGCAGAACTTCGCACCCCGGCACGGCCCAGTGCAATGGTTCTGTTCCCAAGGCTCAATGGCCTCTGGCAGCTTCCACTGAAACCTAGTACAATGTTTGGAGAAGTTAAGATTGAGGCTGAAGTGTAAGATAATCTCCATAATAAAAAAAAAAAAAAGCCTGAGAAAGTGTTTCCATAACTGAACTGCAGCTAAGGGCAAAATCCAAGTACTGAGCTGCACATACTCACAAACACCTGGATGGATCAGGAGCTGGGAGGCGCTTATGCTGCTCTAGATAGCAGCACCAAGCAGTTATCTAAAAAAAAACCCCACCACATTTTAGACGTTTCAGCAGCAAAAAGACCAGGAGAACATTTTGGCTTCACTAGAAATTAAATCAGAGCCCAATGTGTGTCCTGGTATAACTGAACTGCAAGCAAGTGCATTCCCAGAGCTGAAGAAGGGAGTTGCCTCCCTAAAATACTGCTCATCTAAAGGCTGGGAAGAGCAAACTGAGCAGGGCTGATTTGGCCTCATTTGCCCCCCTGCCCGTTTTCGCAGCCGGCCTTTGCACGGCCCAGCCCAGAGACTAGCGCCTCCAAGGCACCCTGGCCACCCCTCTTCCCCGCACAGGAAGGGAACAGAGASGTTGAGGGGAGGAAACCTGTGACTCAGGAGAACCGCCAGACCAGCACCTGCTCAGACTCAGCTGCAGAGGGAGACTTCTTAGGAGTTTACTTTGGCAGACATAAACCCAGCACTTTTCCTTCTACTGCTTCCTTCGGGACACAGCTGGGCTCTGCTGGCCGCTCCCTCAGCCGGGGGCACCGGGAGGGCCCCTCGGATGCCAAAGATACCCTGGGCCTTTCACACTGCTCCTGCACGGCGGAGGCGTTGGCAGCAAAGAGAACAGGCAGCTCTCAGCACTAGGTCAAACATGGGCATGGAAGAACCCGCCCAAATTCCTCATTATTTCAGGATAACTTGCAAATCTCACCCCCCTGTCAGCTTTTAAAATCATCTGCGGTCTACAAAAGTAATTGATATTTTGGAAGCTGAACCAAGCTGTATAAATATCCCATTAAAACTGGTACCTGACAGACCCACACCTAGGGCAGGTTCAACTCAATCCCTACTGCCAGGCAGCCAAATTCCACCCGAGTTTTATAGCAAACCCAGCTGCCCAGACCACATCAGATTCCCGGCACATCCCAAAGATGGATGTGGGAATAGGCTCTGGGAAGGACGACGCGGGGCACAGTAACTGCATCCTGAGCACGAGGCAGCAGCAAAACCCCCGAGCTGGGACACTGCCCCGCGAGGGCGGCCTGTGGTCTGGGGCGCCAGGCACGTCAGGGAGCTACCTGCAAAGCTGCCTCCGTGYGCTTGAGAAACACCCAGCAGCAGGCAGGAATTAGGCAAAGAACAGATAGGAATTATCTGAAAGTAAATACTAGTTGCAGTCTAAGTGGAATTATTCTACTGCAATTGGTAAATGTGAACAAAAAGCAGATTCCTAATTTCAGTAATTGCTGAAAAAAGTTAAATAACCCAATACATACCTTATACTAGAACTCGTTTGAGGATCTTGCCTTTATGTAGTCGCAAGGCAGAGCAGGATTCTGCACAAGGCCATCTTCATCCGCATTTTAACACTCTAACAGGATCCTAAAAAATAAAAAGACAGTAAATAACCAGAACATTTGAAACCAAGTAGAAAATACAATAGCTTTTTTTTGTCCCCCTCAAATACCCACTTTTTTTTACTAGCGTAACAGCTCTTAATGAATCTTTACAGCATCAGACAAATCCTCCTATTCTCCAGCTCCTCTTACCCGCAGTTTCCTRTACACAGGGCTCCCACTCTTGCTCCCTAACATTTGACAACTGCAGCTGGTTCAAGAGCCCCATCAAGTTTCCACATTTTGTACTCAAGTGTGAACTGCAGCCGGTGCAGCCCTGATCAGAACAAATCCCCTCCTGACACTCRTCCCAAGTTCCACCTTCTTTTGGGAGGGTTTTAACAACGCACACACTCAAACAAAATTGCTTTCTGCTCGGTTTGCCAGTACCCGAGACGAAAGAGCTCCCTCTCGTGCTCTGCTACTGAAATACTTGGATTCCTGCACGTAAGTGKTGTTAACAAAATGGGGGTAACTGCTCTCACTAAGTTGTCTGGAAGGTCTGACAGCAGAAACACTCTTTTCCACATTCGWCAGCCTGCTGTGGTCCATACTTAATACTTAAAATACGTAAATTATGAAAAAAAAATGAATTACATGAGTTATAAATTCAGCAAAACAGTGCTGCTTTATTAACACCTGGGGACAAAACTGCATGTGTGTGTCACTAAAATGCATTTCAATACTAAAAGCTAAAAAGCGTTATAAATTCGTGTGAGAGTTAAGGCTTTGCCGCATCAAATCTCTAGTAATTTCCTCACATTCACAGATGTGCCTACAACTTTGAACAAGAATGTAATTTTATTCCTACTTTTAAGAATACATATATTAAAATGTAAATATTCAAATGGCGCTCTGCATAACGACTATGTTAGAGTATCCATCCTGAACTCTGGGGGGGTCTCCTTCAAGATCCTCCACCCAAAACAGTAAGTTAAAGTGTTGCAGCTTCCTCAGCTCCCTCTGCCACTCGTTCAGGCCTCAAAGTAGC